CACCTTCAAAATAAATAAAAGAACATGAAGGTAGTTTTATTTGTTCGAACTTCATTTGTTTACACCCTTAAATAAAACATTTTTATAAAAAATAATACATAAAAATTACATTTTTTAAAATATTACCTTCCAAAAATTTATATACAATATTATTAATGAAGATAATCATCCATTTTAAAAGGCGTTGTGTTTTACATGTAAAAATAGGAGCCATGCACCAAAAACTCCTAAAGTTGTGTTAGAGGATCAACTTTTTTTTCTACTTCAATTTTAGCTAAAATTATGTCTGTGTGCATTTATTTTATATATTTTAATTATTATTTTTTAAAATTTATTTTTGACAGAAAAACAGTTAATTTTATTTAGTAAAAAATATTCAAAATTACAATAAGAGCTTACAATTAGAATCGTAAACTAAATATATAATTAAGATTGTTAAGATAAAAAACTAACAACTTAAGATCGTATAAGAACCATACAATGAAAAGGTGAAAACCCGATTCAAAAAACCTCGAACAACAGGTAGATACAAACATATTTAGCTGCTACAGTAAACGAACCACAACATGAGATTAAAAGGCGTTGTGTTTTACATGTAAAAATATTATAAATGAAGATAATCATCCATTTTAAAAGGCGTTGTGTTTTACATGTAAAAATAGGAGCCATGCACCAAAAACTCCTAAAGTTGTGTTAGAGGATCAACTTTTTTTTTTCTACTTCAATTTTAGCTAAAATTATGTCTGTGTGCATTTATTTTATATATTTTAATTATTATTTTTTAAAATTTATTTTTGACAGAAAAACAGTTAATTTATTTAGTAAAAATATTCAAAATTGCAATGAGAGCTTACAATTAGAATCGTAAACTAAATATATAATTAAGATTGTTAAGATAAAAAACTAACAAATTAAGATCGTATAAGAACCATACAATGAAAAGGTGAAAACCCGATTCAAAAAACCTCGAACAACAGGTAGATACAAACATATTTAGCTGCTACAGTAAACGAACCACAACATGGGATTAAAAGGCGTTGTGTTTTACATGTAAAAATATTATTAATGAAGATAATCATCCATTTTAAAAGGCGTTGTGTTTTACATGTAAAAATAGGAGCCATGCACCAAAAACTCCTAAAGTTGTGTTAGAGGATCAACTTTTTTTTTTCTACTTCAATTTTAGCTAAAATTATGTCTGTGTGCATTTATTTTATATATTTTAATTATTATTTTTTAAAATTTATTTTTGACAGAAAAACAGTTAATTTTATTTAGTAAAAAATATTCAAAATTGCAATGAGAGCTTACAATTAGAATCGTAAACTAAATATATAATTAAGATTGTTAAGATAAAAAACTAACAAATTAAGATCGTATAAGAACCATACAATGAAAAGGTGAAAACCCGATTCAAAAAACCTCGAACAACAGGTAGATACAAACATATTTAGCTGCTACAGTAAACGAACCACAACATGGGATTAAAAGGCGTTGTGTTTTACATGTAAAAATATTATAAATGAAGATAATCATCCATTTTAAAAGGCGTTGTGTTTTACATGTAAAAATAGGAGCCATGCACCAAAAACTCCTAAAGTTGTGTTAGAGGATCAACTTTTTTTTCTACTTCAATTTTAGCTAAAATTATGTCTGTGTGCATTTATTTTATATATTTTAATTATTATTTTTTTAAATTTATTTTTGACAAAAAAACATTTAATTTTATTTAGTAAAAATATTCAAAATTACAATGAGAGCTTACAATTAGAATCGTAAACTAAATATATAATTAAGATTGTTAAGATAAAAAACTAACAACTTAAGATCGTATAAGAACCATATAATGAAAAGGTGAAAACCCGATTCCAAAAACCTCGAACAACAGGTAGATACAAACATATTTGGTTGATACAGTAAACGAACCACAACATGGGATTAAACTATTGAAAGATCATCGACAAACGCAAATCAAAATTAACCTTCTTGAGAATATCATCTATGAACATAGAATGTGTATCCAAATCTAATTCGACGGTTCAAAACATATAAGATCAATCATCTTGATCAGTCGCAACGATGTCAAATCCAATCCTGTAAAAATTAAGCTACAAAACGACAAAAAATAAAACTAAAAAACATGTCAAAATGAAGAAAAAAAATGTTATGAAGACAGAAAAAATTGTATCGTAAAAACAAAATTATTAACAATAAAGAAGTAAAAATCCGATATTAAAATAAAGAATAAAGAAAAATCAACGACTACAACGAACATCAAAACTGACACTATCGCATACTAACCAAAAATAAAAAAGAAAATATAAGACAAAGGAGGAGCGGCGGCTAATTTTCTTTTAAAAAAATAATCATAACTTAAATAGTACATGAGGTAAACTTTTATTATGACTCAAATATAAAAGAAAAATAATAATTCCTATAGATTACCCTTAATAGTTTTCATGTTTGTCTGTACTTTGAAAAGATAACATATTTATATATGAAGGGTGATGAATGAAAAAAAAAAGATGCCCTAAATAATGTCTTTAGCTTTCTCGTGAGACCCCGAGTCAATTCATAACACTTAAATGTCGTTGGCCCCACCTTTGGTACCCCCTTGCTGGTGTTTTGGGCTCTGAAATTGAAGGCCACCACTTGCAGTCCGAGTTGAGCTTAGTTCTGGTCCACTCTCTGCGCTATGCAAAAGCCTACTTCTATTAGGGTCGTTATTGAAACTCGGAACGTCTTTTCATCAAACCACCCTAATTTCATCCCAGCATCACCATTATGTGCATTAACCCTAACGATGCACGAGGTTCTTAGATACTAAACTAAAAATAGTTCGAATTATCACCCACTCTTAATTTTATTGATTTTTAAAATTTTATAAGCTCGAATATACTGTGTCTTTGATTTAATGGTATAAAAAAACCAAATTTTGAGGACATAAGATAAGAGGTCATAAACAGAGAGACAAACCCAAAATTTTGGCCCACAACTTAATTGGGAAAAAAATATCTTTTTGTGCACTTGAGGGGCAAGTGAGCCAATATTGCACTAGAGAATCTGGTAATAGAAGAACCCGTGAATAAGGGCATGGACCCCCCTGGTTATGGTAGCCTTTCTACTCTCTACACATCCAAAACAGAGTGGTAAGTGTTTTGTTTAGATTCGTAAAAGATTTATTGTTATTCTTTGAAATATCGGATTTAAACATCGAAAGGTTATTATCAAATTTACTTTATACTCCGTCACATATTTATCAAATAAAAATAATAGTAAGTTAGAATAAAAAAATAATTTTGAAATGCCAAAAGAAAAAGACTTATAAAAGGCACTTGTTTGTAGTCAATGTTGAAAAAGAGAAAACAAGATAGGGTTGCAAAAAGGCTAGCAGACTAAAAAAATTAGATCAAAGACCACACTATTTCAACTTTGTATCATACCGGTTCAGCACCTTTTAACGGGTCTGCCAAATCAGGCTTCCTCTTAACTGTGGGGGACTTGTTTGCATGGGTTTGCTCATTTGTTTCTACCTCATTGTTGGGATCAAAGATCAGCTTCCAGTGCCATGTTTTGCATCCATTAAAGCAAAATAGTCGAGCCAAAAGATCACCTGACTTGGACAAATGAAAGGTGATGGAATATATATAAGGCCGATTTCATGCTATCTTCCTGTGCTTTACATATAGGTTTGGAATAACTAAAGTTATTTAAAGAAAGGAGAAGAAAGGCCTTCCAAATTCCCCTTGGTGGGGTTTGCTTCAGCACTTTATATCAAACACATACATTGTGAAAGATATTCATTAAAGTTTACAATTTTTGAGTATCAATGTGGAAATGATGCAGGAAGAGATATAGCTTCAATATTTATATGATATAAAATAACATATTCTAAAAGGTTTAGTAACATAAGCCAAAAATAGTTATTTGTTGTACACGTAAAAACCCTACTTCATCAACTAATTGATTGGAAAATATGAGATTGCTTTGACATTATCAAATAATGTAGTGTCTGGTTTAAGAGCTGATAAGAGTCGATCATGTTAACTGTGGGGTATTAGAAAAAGGTTGAAAGTCTCAAGGGTAAGGGATATTCCTCGCAGTGGCCCTGCCTTTATCAGTAGCGCCTCCTCAACGACTATGCATGTATTAATAATATGAAATTTTTGCATGAATGGACACAAATAAAATTTCAGTTTTAGTGTAGGTACAATCAATAGAATATGTAATTAACTGCATAAAATTTTCGAATGAACAAGCACAAATAAATTTTTAGAGTAATCATAATCAATAAAATAAGTAATTAATTTGAAAAATATTCGGATTTAAGGATTAACATATATACACCGACCACCATAGACTACGGGTATCAGCCACTGGCCTTTGGCCCTTTACCACCCACCCCCTTGAAACTTTTTTTTAAGTTTCTAATGAATCATCTAGCAGTAAGCAAAAGCAAGCCTTACTTTTAATATAACATTCCTTTTAGGGTTTGGGTGTTTTATAACAGGAGCAAAGGAAAAGATAGAAAGTGCCAACGTTTGAGTTCACAAGACAAAAGTATAAGTATTAAAATAATAATGGTATAATTTTATTACCAAAAAGAATCTGAAATCAAGTGGGGGTGAGAGGTACTTCTAGTCCTTGCTTTGAGCTGCCTCTTCACTCTTCCTTTTGTAGAATTCTAAACCTTTTTTTATTTCGCATTGCTTACTTTTTCTTCCCTGGAAATTGATTTTATCTAGTTTTACCAACCCTTCTCTAATCTCTCCTTAGTCTTCCACTTTAATCATCACCTTCTGCACTCTACCCTGCTAATGAAACTCTCTCTCTCTCTCAATCTATTATCTGTGAATCTTTATATACACATAAATGGATAAAGGATAGGGCTATTGAGTAGTAGATGTTTAGAGAGAACAGAAACCCATTTTATTGTTTGTATTTCCTCATGTTTTGATTGCATGAGGAGAGCAATTCTCAGCTCTGGTTGGTTAATTTGCTAAGAAATAGATAGATGTATATGTAGTCTGGATTGCGTTGGCAGGTTGTTCAGAGCAATCCATGGCTAGACAGCGACTTGGAGAATAACCCATCATCATCTTCACGAGATTTTGCTATTGCCCCCCAATGAATGATGTCTTTCTGTATGTACATGTCACTGCCACCTGTTCATTAACCTAGCTGTATGTGTGTAGTTTGTGTCCAGAGCTAGGGGATCCTATTCTATATTATATGACCGACCCTTTGCTGTTCTCATTTGGTCTGTATTGGTTGTTTCTTTCAAAGGTGCAAAGTGCTCACTCTTTGAAACAACATATATCAGATAAAACAAAGAGAGGGGAATCAAACTAGTCTTCTGGGATTTCCTTCTTGTTTTTCTTTCTTGGAGTTTTCTTCAATATCTCCTCCAACTATGTCCACAAGAGCTCAAGCTGACTTAAATCCTATTGTTTCAACCGTTTCTCCTCAAAAAATTAAGAAGAAGAGAGGCCTACCTGGGAACCCTGGTAATCAAGACTTTTGCTTTTTATGATCTCTTTCGAAATTTCTTTTAGAATTTGTCTTTTAATTATTTGATGCTAATAATTTACAGACCCAGACGCTGAAGTGATTGCTTTATCTCCAAAGACGCTGTTGGCTACCAACAGATTCATATGTGAGATCTGTAACAAAGGTTTCCAGAGAGATCAGAACCTCCAGCTTCACAGAAGAGGCCATAACCTTCCATGGAAGCTGAAGCAAAGGAACATCAAAGATGTAAAAAAGAAAGCCTATGTTTGTCCTGAGCCAACGTGCGTCCACCACCATCCATCGAGGGCTTTAGGTGATCTTACTGGAATCAAGAAACACTTTTGCAGAAAACACGGTGAGAAGAAATGGAAGTGTGAGAAATGCTCGAAGATCTATGCGGTTAAATCGGATTGGAAGGCTCATTCTAAGACGTGTGGAACAAGAGAATATAGATGTGATTGTGGAACCCTTTTCTCAAGGTATTCCTTTTTCAATTTATCCTTTTTTTTTGCCCTGTTTATGGCTGTTTTTGTTTTCTTGCTTAGACCGGGGCCGAGGTTTTTTGTTTTCTTGTAGTTGTTTCTCTTACACAAGAGTTGGGAAGCTTATGCATGGAACTTAATTAAATGCAGTGCCTGGCTTCGTTTCATCGAAGTGGACACCATTAATATACAAGTGTCTGTTACTTCCTACTGGGTAACCCTTGCTAGAGAAACGGAAAGCAAAATCTCTGAAATCTTAACCAGTTGCCTTGTTCTTCTCTCTTTTCATTTATAATCTGTAGTATATTATATATTAACCTTGATTTTCTTCTCTTGTTTTCCATTATCGGTTTACATGGTTTTATTTCTCCTTTGATGCCTTTTAATAGGGTAGACTGTAGTCTCAAAAACAATGATGAATATCCAAAGAAAAAAGCAAAAAGAAGCTTAATTGTTGCTTTTGAGATTTCATAGTTTGAGAAATCCGTGACAAAATTTTCATGTAGTATGTCATTATTTACTTGCAGAAAATACTGAAACTCTGAATTTTCTCATCATGATGTAGAACTGATAAATCTGCAACAATATCTGCTGTTGATTTTGGTTTCTTTTTTTCCCATGCCCTCCATCTATTAGATTTATGTTTCAATTGCACATCTTTGTTTACACATGCATGGAAGAGCTCTAGTTTTAAATACCAACACTTTTCCATCATGTTTTTTACCATATTCTTGAAATTTTAACCCATCTCTGCATGCATATACACATCAATTCACTGCCCATGCATATTTCTTCTCTCTCTTCGTCTTAGCTTTATATTTGACCAAGGTAGTTTTCTCCTTTATTTTTTTCTGTAAAACTTTGACATAAGTCTATTTAATGCGCATGCAAGATCGTAGGCTTGAACCTTTTCGATTTTTTTTTTTTTTGCTTTTTTATTGCAAAAACAAGAACATACATTCTGTCTTGTGTCAAAATCCCACAATCACTTTCACTTTGTTTCACAACTGTTTGATTCATTTTCTCAAATTTATTGCTTGTTAATGCGTTTATTAATTATGATGACTTTGTGAAACCTCCTACAGGAAGGATAGCTTCTTAACTCACAGAGCGTTTTGTGATGCATTGGCTGAAGAAAGTGCAAGACTGTCGGCCAACCAACTTGCCGCTGGCGGCGGCACGAATCCAGCCCCCAATCCACCTTTGGGTTTCCCTTTCCCAAACCCTATTTCTCTTAACCCATGGGACCCTACTCAAACCTCTAACCCTAACCCGAATAACCCACTTCAAGTCAAGCCCGAGTCTCAACATTTCGCGCCATACTTCCAAGAACCGCCGCCGCCTCCAAAGGTCCTGGTCACCTCTCCCTTCCAAACCCTCCGCGTAAGCAACAATCCGCTCTCCAATGCTGCCATGTCAGCCACTGCACTCCTTCAAATGGCGACCACCGTTGGTGCATGCACCGCCACGCAGATAAATAACAACAGCAATTATCATTACGGCATGGCGAGTCATGTATCCCCGGATTTCTCAGGTTTCACGGCGGCAGACCTGGCCACGTGGCAAAAGAACAGCGACCGTTTCACCAGAGACTTTCTTGGTTTGACTAGAGACAATCACCAGCAACATCACGGTGGTGGCAATGCCATTGCCAATGGTAATGGGAATGTTAACTTTGGCATAAACGCGAGAGATGTGATAACGTGCACTGTCGGAGTGGAGTTGCAGCACTTTGGGACAGGCCACCCGCTGTTGAAGCCCCAAGGTTTTGGATTCGCCGAGCCCTACGTCCCAGCCTCGGAAGCCTGGGGTGATTGTTGAAACAAAAAAAGGGGAAAATTTAATAATTTGGGATATCCCTTTCAGAATGAAAACAATGCCCTTATCCGGTGTAATGTTTAATAGCGAGCCCTACGCTTAGATTTCAATTTGTTTGTTGCTAAGTATGAAAGCAAGAACATGGAAGATAAGATTTATATCGACTGTACTTTCTATATATTTAAGTAGGGAATTCGGATAGAAACCATAAGTTATGAAAGGAGCGAAGGCAAAGAATATTCTGTGGTCTTGCTCTTTCATGCATGTGAGTGATAATGCCCACTATTCTCTCTGTCAATCATCACGACCCTACCCTACACGTTTCATGGGAATCGTCATACTTGTCATGCATGCACTACAATTACCATTCTGCCCTTCATTTATTACCCAACAAAAATTATCTATTCTCGGTAGAAATAAATCTGTATAATTAGAATAGAACTGAGATAATTATGCCAGCGGGAGCACATAAGTAGGATTAGAGGGGCAGTAGGTAGAGACTAGAGCGAGTCCATTTTTTCTCTCTTTTTTTTTCTTTCTTAAAAATATTACTAATACCAACGGTTCACACAATACTCGTACAAATCCACAATGATAATTTCTCATACCCAAAACGGACGTTCACTAAAACTGTTAAAATTCATGAAGAAAAATTACCTGATCCAACATGGCCATAAAATAGCCCCAAATCTAAATGTCCCCGTCCGCCAATTATTAGGGTAAAATTTGTATTTAGTCGCTCTAACTATTATTTTATTTGTATTTTGATCATCTAATTATTTTCTTTTAAATTATAATGATATGTTTTTTATTTTACTTTGATTATTCGTCATTAAAAAATTAATAATGATATTGATGTGTCGTCATAAGATAATGTCACCTCATTATTAAAAAAATGTCACGTTAATAATTTTATTATTTTTTAATGATAAATGACTAAAATAAAATTAAAACGTAACGTTAATAATAATTTTAAAAAATGATTAAATAATCGAAACAAAGTCAAAATGATAATCATAAAACTAAACACGTAACTTACCCTAATTATTAATTTTATTATTGCAGAGCTGGAGTAACTAAATGAATTAATAATGCAGTTTTGTCTCTTTTCTTCTGGAGAGTTACAAAAGGTAGATACAATGGCAAATATGGGAAAAATAAAGTCTAAAATGCCAACTGCTTGCCTACATAAATAATAGATCATTACCCGAATCTCTTGACTAACACAAGCCAAAAGATGGAATCCAATTTGAACATCGTTTACGCCCAAGTTAAACATTGGAATACTTGACTTGCACAAGAGTTCAAATTTAACCAACCCACAATCAGATTTGATTCAATAAAACCATACCCCACCATTATTTGTACATACATACACATATTTTAGCGGTAGTTTTCTTCACATTACCTTTATTTACCTCCTCAGCTGGCCCTCGCGCATCGAATACCGTTTAAAGATGGAGGTGAAACCAGTTTCCAAGAAATTCTTTTCCCCCCATTATGTAATGTAATAAAAGAAGCAAGTGATGTGGCCTTTTGTTGTAAAGAGGTGCGCCTGCTGTGTAAACCTTTTGTAAGCGTGACGAGTGAAAGAAAGGTTTACGAAGTTGATTGATGCTGCTGTTGGTGGTGGTCCGGCTCTTGTGTAGGTGTGGTACTAATCCGAAACAAATGTCAACGGTTATGACAAAGATGCTGCCTATAACTTTGAATCAACATTTCAGTCAACTACTTCCTTTTGTTTTCGACCCTTTATCAATTTCTGTGCACCTCCCCATTTCTACAGCTTTTGGCTGCCAGCTTAACCTTCATCATATTACGGTCATACAACTTTCTTTGACTGAATGGCATACCAAACCCCAATCCGTTTGCTACGCTTCAACAAAATGTACACAACCTAATGATGTAAGATATACCATGTCAAATCATCAATAACACTCAATTAAATGTGAGAATATACCTGAATCCAGCAATAAATTAAAAACTTTGAATCAACATTTCGGGGATGTCTCAGGAAAGGCGGGTTAATATACGGCTAATATACAGCATTACCGGATACATTAAAATGTATTTAATAAATTCGGTTTAGCGGTACCTATTATGTTGACAACTAATAATGTTTTTTAGGTAGAAAGAAAAACTATTAAAAAATTTGATAACCGGTAAACTTTGGTTATCGGTAAGTATCTATCCTTTTATAAAAGTGTCCATAGTTTAACATATCAAGTAAATTTTACCGGTTTGTCATAATGAATCTGGTTTGTCATATTTTACTTGTTATATTGTAATTATCTATCCTTTTTATAAAAGTGTCCATACTTATTTCACTGTGAAAATATATTTATTATTATCTTTAGTTAATATTGTTAAATTTAAAATCTAAATAATATTTTATAAAATATCAAAACAATCAAATAATTTTTTGTGTAAATGAAATTATTAAATTAATATTGTAGGTGGAAAACATGAAACACTATTAAAAAATTTGAAACATAAATTACATAACTTTCAAAAAAGTATATATTTTTATAAAAGTGTCCATACTTATTTCACTGTTGAAAACATATTTATTATTATATTGGTTAATATGTTAAATTTAAATGCTAAATAATATTTATAAAATATCAAAACAATCAATAAAATTTTGTGTAAATTAAATTATTAAATTAATATTGTAGGTGGAAAACATGAAACTATTAAATAAATTGAAACATAAATTACATAACTTTAAAAGCAGTTTTAAATCCTAAAAAAGTGTCGATACTTTTAAAAAATATATCGATCCAAAACGATATACCAAGGTAAAAATATGATAAAACCGGTAACAAATGATAAAACCGGTAAATTTAAAAGTGTCGATACGTTATATAAGGATCGACACTTTGTGAATTTAAAAGAGAAGCAGTTATAGCGCCTATAAGTGTCGATACTTTAAAAAAAAATCGATCCACAACGATATAACAGGTAAAAATATGATAAAACCGTATCAAAATGAAAACGGTAAAATGATACCGGATATATTGAAAGTGTCGATACTTTCGTAAGTACGTGTAACAATTATCGACACTTCAAAGAAATAGGTAATTATCCTTTCGAAAGTATCGACACCTGACATAAAAGTATCGACACTTTTGTATTTGTATCGATAAATATAATACATATCCGATGATATAAGCTAAATATCCTCTGAAAAGATAGAACGGACGAGTTTTTGAAATCGAAGAGTAATTGTTGCTGCATTTCAGAAGGCGTTTTCTAAAGCGAAGTTGTTTGTTGTTGCTGCAGTCGAATCGAAAAGTATGTTGTCGAAACCCAATTTTTTATTATTACAGTAATCGCGATAGGGTTTTTTATGTGTTGTTTGGGTTTTGGAGTAAGGAAGCATTTGGGACCGATGCAGGTAGAAATAGATATTCAAGGAAAAATATAAATGTCGATACTTTTATTAAATATTATAGGTAGAAAATGATATTATAGGTGTATAATGTGCCGACACATTTGGTGTGGCCATTCAAATTCTTTGAAGAAAACCGTTTTACCACAGAGTAGTTATCTATATTTGTATATTGACAAGTGTATGTAAAAATAATTGATTTGCGTAAACTGAATAATGAAGGAAAAATGGAGTCAATGGGTTGGAAAATTGTGGTGGAGCAGATGCTTTGAAATTGAGGCCGAGACTCGAAAGCAACCAAAGGGTGGATATATGTACTTCTAGTAAGTATCATGTCTTTTTGTTATTATTGTTGAAATGGTAATTGGATTAAAGTATCGATAAACTTTAAATTGATTACAAAATTTTAAATGTTAACAGTATGGCCGAATGCAAAAGGATGAAGGAGATGGCACAGCGGTTCGGTATGTAAAATGAAATTGACATTGAGTAGTATTAGTATTTAGTGTTAATGTATTGATTAAGAAACGTTTATGTTTAATATTAGGTGAAAAAAGATGTGAGGTCCAAATGGAATTCAATGAGTGATGCTTGAAAAGGAACCTTACATCACACAGTCAAGGAAGAATTTATTAATAAACACCTTAAGGAGAAGGGTCAGTTGAATGTGCTGGGAGAAATAGGTTTTGGATCGTTGATCGGAGTAAGGGATCGACCTATTCGGAGGGAATTATGTCGATCCTTGATGGCACAATTTGACGTCAGTCAATGTATGGCTAAGTATGGTGATTATTCATTCCCTCTGGGGGTATCGACTGCTGCAGCCGTATTGGGGGTACAAAACAAAGGCAAAAGTGTTATAGAAGTCTGTAGGAGTAAAACTGGAAAGCACTTGCCTCCAATATGGTTTGAATCATAAGGTGACATATACTGAAGTTGAAGAGGATATCAAAAGTGGATATTACTTGGGGGATGAGCTGAAGGCCCGAGTTCTATTGTACCTTGTCGGTATATTTCTTTGTCCAACGGGTGATACGTCAACGAACAAGGAATATGAAGCTCATTTGCGATGAAGGCTTGAAGGGTGAATTCAATTGGGCTGAATATATCCATTCGAGATTGATTGAATCAATTATCACCTTTAAAAAGGGCAGCCAGAGATACCTCAAAGGGTGCATAGCAATCTTAGAGGTAAATGAGTTGAATCACTTTTTTTGTTTTTATATAAAATTCTAATTTTATTAAAATGCAGGTTGCACTGTTCGATTTTTGGTCGGGCTGTGAGGCAGTGCCGGCTTATGAAAGAACGGAGTGGCACGCATCCGTGCATGGGGGAAGGAAGAGGTGGTTAGAGTGATGGTGAAGTTGAAGTTGGATAGAGGGAAGAAGCAAGAAATGGTAATAAATGTAATTAAATAATATTAAGAATATAATCAATGTCTTAATATTGTAATTTAATTTTTTGAAGGTTATTGGCAAGGATGTAGAGGAGGCAGTGGAGGCAGAGGAGAAGAAAGGAGGGATGGTTGTATTGGGGGATGAAGGTGAGTGGGACGAAGGTGAAGCAAAACAGAGTAACTTCGACATTTTGATGTCTGAATTGGTGATATCAAAAAAATCCAATTTGAAATCATGCAAAGACAATCAAGAGTCGAAGAGAAACTTGATCAAGTCGTAGAGAAACTCGAGAGGCA